GCCTCCCTGGCTGGGGGTCTCTGCCAGCGGCTCCTTGCTCCCGCTCTCCTCCGAGGAAGTCGGGTCTCCGCTGGACTGCGGCTGTGAGGCAGTAGGGGAATGTGAAGCCCATCGGGACGGTGGGCGCCGGTTCGCTGGTCTCTCTGGCCGGGAGAAGCAGGGTTGGAGGGATGGGGCTAGTGCAGAACAAGGCAGTTCCTTGGCAGCCAAGAGAGCAAAACAGCGGTTAGTGACTTGCCTTAGAGGCTGTCTGGATGCGCGAAGAATTAAGAAGCAAAAAAATTCGAACTAAAGCTAAGCATCTATCATGTCATGGGACAAAAGCAAGCAGCGGACATCTGGCTGTGTGTGGGCTCCCGGTATCTGCATGTATGTCCATGATTCATGGAACAGGTAAGGAGAGAATGATAGAAAGAGGTCTGGGATGAGCCAGAGTAGCTGACAAACTTCCATTTGCTAATTTTCCTTGTGCTAGAAATGGAAGACCTGAAATGTACATTTGCATGATTATTCAGGAAAATCCACTATTCATCACATTGCCTTACGTGCTGATCTGGCATTAAAGGACCAGGTCTGGCATTTGCAAGCGGGGTGAAAATCAACCACCGACTCCTTTTGTCTGCTTCAGAGTTCAGACTGACATGCAGGGAAGACTTCTTAGCTGCAGAATAATGACTACAGGGCTAGCTATGATCTCCAGCTGGATTAAAGATGAGGCTTACCTACAGATTTCATCTTCTGCAACATCACTTTTTACTGCCAGCTGCTGAAGCCTGAATTACAGGGTTCAGTGTAACTGTACTTTAGAGAAGACATTCACAGAAATGAAAAAAACCCTAAACTTTTATTTCTCTACCGACTTTCCACTGTTCAGGCTTGGTAGCCTGCCTCTGCGATTAGAAGCAATCTGCGGTCTGGTACTAAGCTGGTAATTGCTTCTGATATTTATGGACTTTGCTGACAGCATAGCTAGGCTTCCCGCCTCGCTCTGAACGCTCCTTACATCAAGCTGAGTGATTGTAGGAGCAAGTCTGTCTTGTAGGGCCAAAGCCAAACTTCTGAATTTCATTGCATACTTTGTAATTTACAAAAGCAAATCAGAGGGGTTTGTCAACCTACAGAAATGCGTACACTGAGGAGCAGTCACTGGTGAAGACAGGAGAGTTCAATAAAACCCAGTCTCAAAATCAGAATGCAAACTCGTGATAAATGAAGAGAGAGACCAGAAACAATACAATGCAAGGGAAAAGCTCTGGCACGGTCAGGCACAGAGAAGCCAAGGCAGCAGCAGAACGATACAGTAGGAAGGAAAGGATTCAGGGCACAGTTTCACATGGAGGAGGAGACACGTGAGTAGGGATGGAGAATATCGGAGTGGGTAACATGATGTGATTGGCAGTGAACAGACAAGGCGATATGTCACTGAACCTCTCCGCTGCAGCGGGAGGACCAAACATGAATGTCACATGACAGAAAGATCAATCTGAAGACACAGAGCTGAGGTAGGGGAAATGGAGCTTGTGCAGGCGCATGTTTTGGAGAGAGTGCATCGTCAGGCTTGGGGAAGCCTCTGCGAAGGGCAAACCTCGGTGCCTTTGGGCCATACACAGCCCAGAGGGCGATGCGCAGCTGCACATCTCCGCTCGAGGCAGACGCAGGGGCGTGGCAGGGGGCCATGGACCCCAGGCCCGCGCTGCTGCCTCCCTGCACCCTCGCCCCCGCCCCATCTCCGCGCTGCGAACTTCACAACGACCCCTGGTAAAACAACTGTTAAGGATGAAATATAAATTGGTGCTAACAAGAAGATTGACTCCGTGTCCTTTCTTCGCCTTATCCCATTGCGCCTGGGGCAACATGCGCTCCGTGAAAGCTGCCACTAGACTCAGATTTGTGAAGAGAAATCCCTGTGCACAGCAACACTGACAGGCAGCACAACACGGTGAACCGAGGCGATGAGATCTGCGGGTTTTGCCTCTTTCTAAACAGCAGCTTAAAGTGATATCTCTACAGCGCTGCTTGCTTCTGCCTGCTTTATCCTAGTTTCATAGCAGCAAACGAGGGACAGCATGGCGATAACAAAATTTATTTCTACTGCTGCCTCCCAGTTCAAAACCGTCTCTCCAGCATGCCCTCAGGTGTCGGTCAGCTTTTACCCCACGTCAGGGTTAAGCTCATCTTATTTGTGACATACAGATGCCCAGCACAATGCGAGGCTGTGCTGGCGGTGGATGTTGCTCCAGGGCCAACAAGTGACTGGCAGCGTAACCTCGTAACGTGCTGGCTGCGGAGTCAGTCACCCCCACCTGCAGCACAGCTTCCTCTGCTTCAGAAATCCAGCCATGACAAGGAAACTGTCCAGAGTGGTTTGGGAAACCCCATCCTCCTCCCTTACAGCATGTAGCTGTGGCAGCTAGAAATGTTTAAAAAAATTAATACCCTGCAGGTAATTTAGTTTGGTGGTTGGTTGGGGGCTTGGGTGGAGAGGCAGCGCTTCTTACCTCGGGCATTGAAAACGGGCTTTAGTTTCTAGCTATTTCCTAAGCCAGGCTGTCAGCCACCACGGCTATGCCTGTATTGATAACTAAATAAAACAGTTTTCTGGCTCTGAGGCGGAGTGGATGGTCACAGCACATGTCCTCTCCACCCGCTGCTGGAGCCATGGCCGGTGGGACTGCACCCCGGGGCAGCCAGAAGCTCTGCGCGGGGCTGTGCTTTTGTCAAACAAAAGAAAAGATGTTTGCTATAAATCTGAATCTGTCCCCAACATTTTTGCATACCTTTATAATGGTATTAAATTTTGCCATTTTTAAAAAGTTTAACAAAAAACCCAAACAGCAAAAATCTTAAGTGTGACTTCTTCACAGCCCGTGCTGCCGCAGGAGATGGCAGATGGGCTCCTACCCTGAGCGCTTCCCGACCGTCGCATACGAAGGCCCCCCCCAGGGATGTCGGGTGCGTGCCGATACCTCTGGATGTGTGGTCATTTATTTCCCTTCGTTAACCCATACGTTCAAAAATGACCGCTTTCGGAAAGCTCTGGAAACAAGGTAGAAAGGACTTACAGCAGTGAGGCAGGCAGGGTTAGAGTCCCCAGGGGGCAGTTAATAAGACAGTTTGGTTCTGGACAGAACAGACAGAAAAGAAAAAGAAAGCAGGTACGTTGGAAAGAACTGTTTTAATAATTTTTTTTTTTAAAGTGAAGATTTCATGTCAGCAAGGAAGAAGTCTCCAGATGTTACTACCCATTCAGATCATGTTACCACTGTTACCACAGGGAAACTAATAATCAAAAACAAAAGATAAGCCACTAGCAGAAAAAGATTTAGAAAGGAAGGGAGCAAACAAGCCAACCCTTTACAATCCTAGCACAATCTCAGAAGTGGACATGGCATTAAACAAACCAAACATTTCTACTCAGCAGAGAAAGGCATCTGTTATCCTTTGCCAACCTTGATGAGAGCTAGGGAAAAACCACATTACTGTGAAAGAGAAATAAAGCTGTACTTTTTTTTTCCTTTGTTTGATTTTAAGAGAGAATTTCTGCTTAGGAAATCTTTAACAAGCGAAACAGCAACCGATGTTTTGTGTTGATCATGTTTCTCATGTTGCTCATGCTTATGTTGCTCAGGTTTCATCAAAGCCCTTTGCCTCACCCTTCCCCCTTGTTCCTGTTTAACAGTGGTGCTGGATGGAAGACTCAAACTAAAGTAAAAGCCCTTTAATTCTGACAACACCTTCCCTTCTTTTTAACATTCCCCCTCCCATGCTGAACGGTTCGGCGGCAAGTGTGCAGCAATGGCTCTGCCCCCTCTCCTCCGTGGGTCTGTGTGGCCGGTCCTTTCACAGCGCTGTCTCCAGAAATGAGCCTCACCCCCAGTCCAGGACTGTTGTGTAACCTCTATGATTTACACCCTTGCTAGTCATAGAACAAAAATACTCATACAGCTCTTACACTGTTAGCTAGGCAATACTAATCTGCATTTTTAATAGTAATATTTATAAATCCCATGATATGCAAGTGGTTTACTGAATTAGCAGGGTAAGACACTAGTAGGCTGCACTGGGTGGATATGAATTTGCTTGTAAGCAGCTCTGGGCAAGTTAGAAAATACAAAGTTATTACTGCTTTGTATGCATATATACTCACACGCACACATACATATGTGTTTAAATATATAAATATACATGAACTAGATTTCATATTTGCAGCAGGACTATAAAAGCCAGTTACGTAACTAAACCACTCAGAAGCTCAAATTAAAGAAAAGCCACCAACAGGTGCTCCATGCAAGTCTAGAAGTCATCAATGTACCATGCCGTGACTGCAAAAACAAGCAGGCATTGGGTGGTAACAAGAGCACTTATCTTGGCCAGAAACCAACAGGTGAGGGGGCAAGCAGAGCAGGGTCTATGGGAGAGTGGCAGGGGCACAGCCTGCCTCCCCCAAGATCACCATTTGCTGAACTGCTGTGTCTGGCTTTGTACAAAATGTGCTAAGTGGAATTTGTACAAAGTGTAACTTGTGTGGTCAGTGTAATCCATACATAACCCAAGGCATCTGTAGAGTCTAAAATTATTTGCGGTTTTGTTTTCAGCGGCGAACCCGTGCTCCATTAAGTACATCTTGTAGAGCATCGCCTCACCTAGGAAAAGCTAAAAGCTCATCGTGTGAGTGCCCACCGCCTTCCTTTTCAATGCACAATCCTGAGCAATGACAGGTCCACCCAAAGATCATAACCTGTGCATCTAGACAGCAGTCATAACAGCCGAGTAAGAGTTGCAAGGAAAACCAAGTCTTAGCTCTGAGGCTCAGAACTCAAAAAGTTAGGCAGAAGATACTGAGAATTCAAAAAGATGAGCAATTTTCTGGCAGTTTGATGGCCAATGAGATTTTACTAAACAGCAAGGACCCAAATCTCTCCACGGATCAAACTCAGGTACTGACGCTAGTTGTATTTTGCCAACAGCAATTTGTGATGATGTGGGATGACGTCTGTTTACTTATACTTGAAATCTGCTGAGACATTTAAAAGATGTAGGGGGGAATCAAGAGTTTCCAGGGATGCCTTAAAGGCAAAGCTGAGTTGAACCTGTAAGAGTACAACACACTTTCTAACCAGGACCAGTAGTGCATTCCCAGTATTTCGAACTAAAGGCAAAATACGGAGGTAGCTAGAAAGAGTCAAATAAATGAGGCTGCTTTCCACTTTTATTCACTTTGAGGTTTGTGCTTAAAACCCACTTTCATTCACTGTTACTTACAATGTGTGCATGGTTTCTTTTTCATAGGTAGAAACTTCCCTATTTATATCTGTTTAAACTGCATATAGGGAATATAGCCTCACCTTTGGATCCTCTGCTAGGCAAAAAAGATCATGTCCTCTGAGCAGTACCTACAAAAGAGGAACCGACTGTCCGCTGAGAACCACACACTTCTGCAAGGCGAACTGCAGACCAAAAGTCTCAGCGCTCGGGTCCCCACAAATCCTTCAAGCCAAATGTGGAGTTTGAACCTTCCCTTGGGGCTATCTGAGGCAGGAGTGGTGGGAGTCAGCCCAGCGAGGCCAAGGTGGGATGTCTGGGGTGAGCACAGGTCAAGTAGGAGTTGCTGCCCTGCAGCTGGGGCCCACTGAGACATCCGGGTGCTAAAGGGGCAGCGTGGGGCAGAGGGGAGGAGGGGGTCCTGTCCCTGCCCTGGGGGGCATCGCTGAGCAGCTGGGCACGTGCCATTTCCGTGCTGTGCCAGAAAGGCAACACGCGCTGGGTAAGAGATGGACATAACTCAGCTTCTCCAGGCCCCCTCAGGGCAGCACTCTCACATGCACAAAGGTTCACCAGAAACAGGAGGCTTAGGCACTGATAACTGAAAGCTTCTGTCCATCATTACACCCTCTTTTTTGTTGCTTGCTCTAGCACATTGCTGTACCTGAGACTCTGACCCCCAATACCTGGGCGTACTTCCTGAGACAGACAATGACCGTTATGCTGTTGACAGCAAAATACCACCAGAGTTCTTAAACACTAAGTAGGTATGTGCTTAGACTAGTTCATTCTCTTTTTTTTTCTAATTTTTGTAAGGCAGCAACAGTTGGTACCAAATGCCATGCCATTTAATCACATTCACAGACCCAAGCCAGACTTCACCAGATACATCCAGAAAAGGTATGCTGAAGGCCCTGAAGTTTCGGTTCAGGGTATTGTAGAGACTATTTTTCACACGAACTTGTTAACACGTATTTTTGTGTAGGAGAAAGAATCTACCTTTCCATCCAGCATAAAAGAGAAAATTACTCAAACCTAGAGTCCCTAGAGCATCTGTAACATGTGGTGTGTTTTGTGACAGAAAACCCTTACCCCACTGATTCACCAGGGGAGAACAACTTATATCCTGTAAAGGCATCTTTATCCTGTAAAGGATAAAGCTCTTCTGATGCTTTCAAGCCTGATAAGCTGTCAGGATAGAAACTCAATTCTTTAATGTGTTCTTCAGTGACTAATCCAATAGTTTCATGATGGGGACTCGCTGGTGGTACCATGACAGGACTAGGATATTCATTGTAAATACTCACTAGGAATGCAAGAGATCTCATAATGCATTTGTTCAAAGAAGAGTGCATTTAGCTATAGGAGGAAAAACAAACAAACTCATTACCTCTATGGACCCTGGATCTACTTTGACAATTTCTCCTGTGCTGTTGTCATTGCTAAGATTTGGTGGGTTGTGTGAAGGTAGCCTTCTGTCTTCCTTTAAGGCATGCTCCAAAAGTTTCTTATTCAAGATCCTGGCAGCATTTTCTGCAAGTGTGTAACCTGGAGGAGCAGATAAGTCCTGCCGGATACTTGTCACCTCAGCCCCATCTTCCTTTTGCGTCTCTGTCCCCAACCGGAGAGGACTGGGTGATCTGCCACGGGCAGTTGTACATGGCTCCTGCACTGGGCCCAGTTCTGGTCTGGGTTCTGCTGACCTGGACCGGCTGCTAGACCTGGGGCATTTTTGGAAGGTTTCATGAAAGATGGGGCTATGATCAATAATGTTGAACAAACTGGAGAGGCCATCGTTGATGGTGGTGTGGACAGGACTCTCCCTTGTAGTAGTTGATCTAGCCCAAGCGGACTCACTGAATCCTTTCTGAGGTGTGCCGGGCAAAGTCCGGTTGTTTGGCTGGTCTGATTTGGGAAGGATTTTTCTTTGCAACTTTGGAGAACCATATTTGGGGGAGCAGCATGTGCGTTCAAACTTAGCCTGGACCTTTTCAATGACGGGGGTCACTTGCCTGCTTCTTAGGCTTCTGGATGGTGAAGAGACAGGCGTGGACCCCCCCTTTGGTGTCAGACACTTGTGTGGACTGCTGGTGATACTGCGCAGGGTTTCTGTCTGCAAGCCAACACTGATTGTCTGGGTGGTCTGCGTCCCTGTCGTTCTCGTACCATTGGTTTGACATGCAGTGTCCTTAAACTGAGGTTCTGCTGAATTAGAGCGTATTGCGTTTCGGACAGAGAAAGCGACCTCCTTCATATCATCACTCATGTTTTTGGACATCTCCAAGCTATGCAAGGGTGAGGCAAAGCCCACAGTAGTGCAAATAGGACGTTCAATGGGACGAAGACCACTCTCCAGAAAATCCTTGTGATGTTTGGCCAGGTCACAAGACCATCTTCCAAACATATCCGAGGAAGCACCTTTTGTCTCAGCAACATTCCCCATAGCTTTGGTCACAGAAAACAGGAAATCCGTCTCAACCTGGTTTTTCCCTTCGCTGCCAGCTATCACCGGGTTATCAAACCTACGGACAACCGGTGGGCTGTGAAAGACCCGAACTCCCATTTTTTCAGTTGCACCATGACTCCTCGTTGGCTGCTTCTGGCAGTGCTCTGGGCTGGTCATGGTGTTAGTTGTCATAGTGACACTGGTGGTGAGATACCATGACGATGCCTGGAAGGGATCTGAAGCAGGATCATTCCCGGCTTTCCCAATTTCTGTCCTTTCTGCCCAGCCTTCTGCAGGCTTCTCGGCAGCCCCACCGTGGTTCCTAGTGTTACTGTAATCCCAATTTTTGTTGAACTCCTCGATGTATTTCAGATCATCAGGAGACAGGGGAGGGGTTATGTCGTCTTTGCTGCTGGATGAAGGCAAATTTTTTTCTGGTAGAAATGGAGAAATATCCATCAGGCGCTGAAATTCTGACATGGAAGAAACGGACATCGCCCTACAGAGGGGAACATGAGAATGTCACTCATAGGCTTGGAAACTCTCACGGAATGACTTATTTTCAGCAGCAAACTAACTCAGGAAACTTGACTTTCACTACCCACTTATGTATGAAACCACTTTAGCCCTCTCTTTCATTAAAGTTCCCTTTTACTTTTTTTAAAATAGCTGTGAAATGCAAGCATTCCTGATGTGTCATTAAAAGCACCAAATGGTTTTTTAATGGCTCTTAATTTACTGCTTTCTTGTGGATTGCTGCTTGGCAAATGTCTGAAGTACGGAGCAGTAGGTGCATTTCAGAAATACACCATTCACAGAAAATGAGCACACGTATCAAAGCAAGTGTGGAGTATTTCTGACTCGCTGGGAAATCAGCAAGTCCACCTCCACTCTTGAGATTGCCCAGAATGCACAGCTGGTGCGCAGCGATGTGGGACATCCAGCCTAGATGGTGTGACATTGAACTGGCTTGGTGAGTTGAGCTCGTGCTGTAATACAACCAAAGGGGATCACGATGTGGTAATGCTGGATTCTTGGCTTCCCCACGCTTTGCTAGTTCATACAAAACACAAGCATTCAGCTGAGTTGCCCTACTGCTTCGCTTAAAGAAAAATCAAACTAGAGAAGAAGACTACTTAAAAATGTAAATGAGTGTAGTTATCAGAGTTGGCTCAATGAGGTAACTCAAGCTGGGTGAGGATTCACCAAGGAGTGGGTTTCATATATCAGTGATCTGGAGGATACAGTAAAATTACACTGTGAGTTTTTAATCAAGAGTACCAGCTGCAGCTAGGGTGCATCTAGGTTAGGGAGTTAGGTGAGATCAGGAGTGCGGTTTTGGAGTGGAGCTCCTACTCCGATGCTCTTGTCTGCATCAGGGGGCGATTGCAGAGAGCATGGGCAGTTTGATCTTTGTGCACCACAGCTGAATGTGGCCCAGGTTAATCAGAGTAGAACAGAAGCATATTGAGACAAATTAATCCCTGGGTAAATCCATTAATCTGGCTCGCAGGCTGCTTAGGAGGCGTCATGGCTATGCCTCGGCTCTGTGGTTTGGGCGCCAGAGAGCTATAGCTCCGGCAGCTGAATATTTGCTGGGTTTTTATCTGTAACTTTTACTCACCTTTGAAGATTTCCTTTGTGTGTTTCTTCCTCCTGAAGAAAAACAGAAACAAACAGCACAAGTTATTTCTGAACCTGTTGGTGGCATTAGCTTGTGGGTGTTTTGTCATTCACTTTCATTTAGTTCCACCAGGTATGTTTGTCTCTGAAAAGTGGCTGATTTTCCCTCTGATAAAGAATCTGAAATTGCCAGTGGGAATATCCTTCCCTTTGTACATGGGCAGCAGAATGGACAATCCCATCGGGACAACAGACTGTGCAGGGAAAGCCTGTACTCCAAATCTACAGTAGCCTTGAACTTTCATAGTCCCGTGCAATCACAAATGGAAGTAAAACTGCAAATGGCTTTTTTTCCACGTGTACAATATATTGTTTTGGACTATACGTTTGTGAGTGAATTTGTTCTGTTGAGTTAATCTGCTTTATGCCAGAGACCTAGCTGTGCTGAAATAAGAGATAAAACAGGGTCCTTTGCTTTGACATAAGATTCATTATATGTTCTCCAGGAACCAACAAATGGCACCAGTTGAAACTCATTAAGCCAGCTATATTACCTGTGTGGGAAGACTTTTCATAGGGGGGATACCTACAGCTTGCTAACGGCATTAAGATGTTTTTATGGCAATTATTTCCTTGTGACAATTCCCATAAAGAGTTAAGGTTTTAACAGACACTTCTGGAGCAATTGCTGTACAGTTATTGTTTCAACTGTTTGCTTATATTTCTAATAATATATAGGGAACACAAAGTATGATCAGGGAAAAAAGAGGATTAGTACCTATTATTTTTATTTGACCTCATGAAATCAAAAACATTACCAACACAGAAGTGTATTTCAAATTGTGACTATTCAAAAAGACCACTGCTTAACTCAGCAAATACCTTTCCGATATTTATCCAGAGTCAGGGGAAAAAGTAGGAGTAAACTGATTCTTCTTTCATTCACTCTGGTGCAAGCCTGGAATAATGTTAGTGGCTTCAGTGGAGTTACTACAGAGTAAATCTGATCTAACTGAATGGAGAATCAGGCTGAAGGGTGGATTGACTTCTACTGCAGTTAGCACAACAAAGAAATACAGTGGACAGCAACAGTCAGCAGGCAGCAGCTGCCTGTCTGCATCCTCAGTTAAGCTACTCATTAAACTCCAATCAGTCTCACCAGAGCAAACCCTCTGCGGAGAAATGACTTTGCCCAGGTTTCACTATAACATGCTTTGAAGGGAAGAAGCTATGCAAATATCACCTAGGCCCAAATCTTGCTGCCAACACTTTTGTTAATGGTGGCAAAGTCTGCAAAACAGAGAAGGAAAGAGAGATCTCCCTTCTTAAATGTCTGACTTAATTTGAGGGAAAGAAAACAGCAATCAAAATTAAACACAAAACATAGAACCCTGACACTGGTACTAACATTCTTCACACTTGGGCATATTTGAAATATAAGCTAAGAAATAATAAATATGGGCTTCCACACTACCAGCTGTATATTTATGGCACTGAGGGAGGAAAATCTAACTGGAACACTCAGGTACCTACAGCTACTTAAAATGTAAGAGGGGTGGTCACATTTCTTGCCTCTCAATCTTTTTTCTCTTCTTCCTCTCAAAGAACTTTATTTCTCAATCCTTCAGCTAAGTAACAATGCTACACATCTGAAAGAAGTGCTTGGGTCAAATTTTCACAGGCGCACACATTCCAGTCGAGGCACACCAGAGAACCTGGTCCTGCAGGGAGCCTGAGATCAGACCTGTTGACAAACACTTTTCCAGTGTGGTCAAATTTTCAAGCCAGAGTACAGGGATGCATCTTTGACTGGGAAGCTTCTACTTCCCTCTTTGCTTTAATGTGTACACCCAACTGGCATTTACGTGCTCAGAGCACAAGCCGAGTGTCTAACCTATGTGCGCAAATCTGAATTTTCAGGCAAGAAAAAAGTACTCAAAGCTTGCATCAAGCAACATGCTGCCTGCTTGATAATTTTAACTTCTGCCAGTCTCCGAATGCTTCTTGCTCTGTAACAGCTGCTAACATTCAAGCAACAAGAGAAAATAAAGCAGATATTAGTGTTTTGATGTTGTAATGTGTTTTTAATTTCACAGAACAATTAAAGTGCATAGTTGTGGTTAGTGCGAAGATTTTCAGAGCCACTAATATACTATGCCAGTTCACAGGCTACTTTGTACTAGCATATGGGGACAGGGACCCCGGCTTTCATTCAGCAACAATATAAACAGAACTGAGAAGACCTGGAAGCGGTGAAAGTAAGCCTGGGCTGGTGCAGATTTTAGTAGGACACAGACTACATTCACTATGGCCCAATGGCACCTCTTACCGCGTTTTGCATCTTTGTGGCTTTATGGTGTAGTCTAAGGGTAGGTACTTTGCTGATAAATAACAACTTTCTTTTTTTTAATATCTCATCTCACTCATGCTAATCTCTTCAGAAGGCAACCATAACAGAACAACTAGAAGTGCCTCTCTACAGCACTTACTGCTTTACTAACAAAATATAGCCCATATTTCTCTATATATATGTTTCTACTTACAACTGAAGGAGATGTAAGACCTTCTACACCAACATATTTTGTCAAATATAGTTTTCATACATAATATGAATGGCCACAAGGTGAGGTAATCTTTGGGACCTTTATGGTGGCTCCCAGTTTCTCAGGTGATTGACACTGGTCTAATCACCTTGTAACAAGAAATCTCGTCCATACCAAACTCACTACTGTAAGCAGTGCCCATGACACAGTATCTCACTTCCCATAGCACGGATGCTGTACCAATTCTGATATAAGAGACAACACACTGGCTTGATGAAAGGTAGAAGAGTGCATACTTCTGTTAATCCGGTCAGGAATTTCTCCCGCTCCAGCTGCCGAGACCGGTGCTCATCAGGCTCGTCGGGGGAATCAAGAGACAGCGACTCCAGAAAGAGGTTTTCTGTGGCGCTGCACCGATCGCTCTCCTTCAGCTTGGACAGTGACCGATCGTCAAACTGAATGGCATCCGAATCAGAGTAGGATCTTGACCCCATGGGACGCGGCACGTGAAGGTTCCCCTGGGTCGTAAATGGACGAAGGCTACTCTCCTTCTGGTCACACAGAAAACCACCTCCTCTTCGCGGGATTACTTCTTTCTGAAGCTGGAAACGAGCCAAAGTAAAACAAACAGCAATTACTTACGTAGTGTATGGCATTCTGCAGAACTCATCCCTCCCCAGCAGCGAGGCACCCATGCCTTAGGGAGGCTGAGATAACCGCCTGGCTCCAGGGACGCCGGCTTTGCTGTAATTCTGCAAAGGGAAATGTCTCTAGGACGTTGATGCTATTACTCATGGGATTTTGAATGATTAAATGTGTTGTGCTTTAATGTGATTAATTCGTGATTAAATGTATAGCTGTGCTTGTTTACACGCCTATGTATACATATATACACACTGTGTTTATACATACACAAAATAATGCATCTGTCTGCAATCTGATTTTTAAGGAAACAAATCAACACTGACTGTTATTTAAAAGCAATCTTGATATGAAATCCTAAAGCAATACAAGAAGAAGCTCAAGGAAGAGTGACTGACTCAGAGTCTCATCAAAACAAATACATTTTTCTTCTGGTGAGCAATACAAAGGTTGTAGTTTTATGGTCACCACTTGTTTTCCAGAGGTGGAAAATTCCACTTCACAAAAGACAAAAGCTTTGTTTCATAGATGGTCTAGCCCTAGCGCATGGGTAGGAAGTTGACTATTTGTACACAACAGCACTGTCAAAGTGATGAATTAGGCATGCAAAGCATGTTTGAAGAAAACGTGTATTTATAGAGGGGCCGTCAAAGTTATTGACTCTACACTTTGCAAAAGGTGGGTGGAGAGAGGGTGAACCACTGGTGAAATTGCCAATCTTAAAATTAGATTATGTGATCAACTTCTCCTTTAATTGTAAATACAACAGGATAGATGAAGTAAGCGATATTTTCAAACATGATGAATGACAGCAGGA